CTGAATACTTGTGCTGCAGTCTGTCCAGATCACTTAGCAGGTCTCCCGGGATGGTTGGAAACGTTTGACCGGTCAGAAATGGAGTTTGTGTTCCAGGACCCCAAGAGTAGTTCCTCTCTGTGTCAGGGAAGGCACACTGCTTTTCAGCATTTTAGTAGGAGATGTATTCTGAAAACCACCTTGCTTGGTTCAGCCTGCTGAGAGTACAGAATAGTCTTCTGTTTTGACAAGCAGAGATAGAAGAGGCCAGAGGGTTGAGTGGAGACTGGAGGGACTGGTGTGCAGCCAAGCTGGACCTTGTGGAGGTGGGCTGAGTTCAGCCTTTCAACTGCTGAACTTCTCTGAGGTCTTTGCTGGGGAGAGGTGAGGTCAAGGTGGTGGAACTGAGACCTTTGATGTACCTTGTGAGAGCTAAGTATGCAACTTTGGCAATAAACTCAAATGAGAACAACTGGTCTTGCAAGACTCCAGCAGCACCCTGACATCTCCAAGACTTCTGGGACATCTTAGTCTTTTCTTTACTTCGTCAATCAAAGCAGTGTGATTTGCACATGTGACCATTTCCTTGCTACCTGCTAGCACAGTCATTACATATTTGTATCTGAGAGCCCCACTACAAGACTCCTGTCTTTCTTTTCCGCCTCTTGCCTCATTTCTTATTCATGCAGGAGTTTTTTCCCCAGCAGAGGGGACTCAGGGGATGCTTACTGCTGTTGCAGACTGCTTATCATGAAGCATTTTCTAACAGCAAAGCTCTGGGAGCAGAAACGTGTGTATACCCAGGTTATGCAGGAATATCACCCCTAAGTCTTGCTGTGCATCTCGATTTTGAAATGTGGTTACCCAGAAGATGACTATTCTCCTTGCACAGATAATCTCACCCCACCACTTTCTTTTCAGAATTGGGGTCCTTGCTCGAATTTAATTTCATCCTATCCTTTTGCTAGTGGCACCTCATCCCTGTTTTGTAGATCAGGCACATTGTCAAAGGAAAATGAAGATGTGACTTCATTGCTGGAAATCTTCACAAAAAAAAAACCCCCTAAATTAAGAATGAAAGCATGCGACTGAATGTAAACATTTATTGTCAAATAACCTTTTGCCCATTGAGTCCTGTACCTTCTACAAGTTACTAAATGTAATATTTGTAGACAGGAAAATCTGAAGTTAAAAAAAAAAAAGAAAAGGCAAAAAGATCCAGGAAACTTTGGGCCAAGCAAATCTTGTAGCACTTCAGATGCTGAAGCCTTTTCCTAATTTCACTGCTATTTCTTTTACCCCATTCATGATTAAAGGTTTCACAGCGTGTATGTAACATCCCCTGTATTGACTGGTTAATGATTCTTCAGAGGTAGGAAAAGTTTCCACAGCACATCTCAGACAAGCACTGGTGCAGATGGCCAGCCTGTTGCTGATGCTTATGGGTGATCAGCTAACTGAGAAGTTTTGACTTTCTTTAGTCTAGTCAAAGAGAACAAATAGTATTGATTATCAGACAAGGAAAATTTGTCCTGGAGCATCTTCTCTTTGTTCTGCATTTTCAATGCAGCTTCAAAAAAGCATGCAGGTTCTTCAAATAACTGAAGTGCTATACTTTCCTTACAGGAATAGGTTCCCCAGCATGAACTTTGAAGCAGAGATTCTGACAGCTCCACACGATAACTCAGGTATTTGGGAGAAAAAAAAAGAGATTAAAGTAAAATGCCCACTCAGCTTGCTATCACTGCAAACATGTTTGAATTCTTCTGGAGTTAGATATTCTTTAAAAAACAAAACAAAACAAAACAAAACAAAACAAAGCAAAGCAAACCAAACCAAAACAACAAAACCTCAGGAAGTTATACTGACTGCAATTCAGGTGGTTTCAGGATTCAGGGTATATTTAAAAGTGTTGAGGATAGATGGTGGTATATTTGCCTCCAATAGGGCTGGATACGTGTACATTCTCCATACATACCTACCAGAAACACAGCTGCCAATGACGTGATTTTGGAAACAGCACAGTTCTGTATGAGACATACACAGTTTTCTTACTAGTGGCAACTAAAAGCTGATGACAAAAAAACAGTCCCTCAAAAGGCAAAAATGAGGATGAAGATGTTCTGCTGAGTCCTGTCCTTCATCCTCATTTCGTTCAGGAGGAAAAGCTGATTTTTTTCCTGTTGAATGCTACCTTACCTATGCTGATCTCACATACTGAGGCTGGCACTATGACTGCCCTCCTACTGCAGACCTCTGAGATAGACCCCAGAGCTAGTACTCAGCTGCATGGCATCTTCTCATGAGCCTCAGTCTTACTGTTGCTCCTCAGACTCAAGCAGCTGGTCAGAGCCGGGCTGTTGTCAGAATGAGACAGTGGTAAAGTGAGTTTTTGCAGTAATTGCTTGGAACCCCATGAGTAGCCCCAGCTGTTCAGAGCTAGAAATCTTGGTCTCAGCCACGCACATCTAAGCACAAGCCCATTCATATGAAATATTTTTGCTGCCAGTGTCCTTCCTGGCCATGACCTGCAGTTCCTAGCTGGAAATTCACCTCTCTGGCAGTGCATTGCAGTCACATGCTAGCAAGATTCAGAAATGAGGTGTTTGGTGTTGACAGTATTTGCTTCAGCTGTAGGTGACAGGTTTTGTGTTGCCTCATCCCTAATAGCAAGTGTGCCAAGAGCTGGTGATTTCAGCTACACCATCCAACCTATGTGTGAGCAATGGCCCCTCCAGGTTTGGACCTGCTGTGCAATTCCCTTCACCTTCTTGCCTTGATTCTTTCAGAAAAACTCTCCAGTTACCTCCCTTTCTGTAAACCGAGTACCCCATATATGGCTAAGCATTTTGGAGACATTTTCCTCAGGCTGACCTGTAGTAATAAGGCACTTAACAAATACCCTGATGGCAAAGGGCGTCTAAGAATAATTTTCAAAACCTGAGTGTGAACAGGTTGGAAAGTGTTCACATTAGCCCACCTGCATGAGTGGCTCCTGGCCCATATGTTCTCTGTACCATAGTCCCAAATCTCTGGCTTCTGTTGTGTTGGGTTTCTTCAACAAGGTAGGTAGAACTTACTTTCCTTCACTTGCCTTGAAACCACTAACACACAATTTGTATTTGTTTCTCAAGAGCTATATGTGATCCCTTCCATGAGAAGTCTCACAGCTGAGGAGTATGTAGAGGCCTTCAAGTCATTTTTGGATCATTCAACAGAGCACCAGTGCATGGATGAGTTCAACAAGAAAGAATTGCCCAACATCGTGTCTGGGTAAGAAGCACTTCCACCAAGGTGGGAAAGGCATATCTTATCCTGAAAGGGCAACCTACATTCAAGGATCAGAAAACATGTTTAAGGACTTCCTGGGTCAAGAATGAACTTTTAATGCTACTCATTTAATTGTGGTCTTTAGGATTGTCATGGTTTAAGCCCAGCCAGTAGCTAAGTATTACGCAGCTGCTTGCTCACCCACCTCCCTGTCCCAGCAGGATGGGGATGAGAATCAGAAAAAAGGTAAAACCTGTGGGCTGAGATAAGAGCAAATTAATAATTGAAATTAAGTAAAATATTATGATTATAACAACAACAGCAATAACATTAATAATTGTAATAATAACAATAATAACGTAATTAAAAGGGAGACAACAAAAAGAGAGAGAAATAAAACTCCCCCAAAACCCAAGCGATGCACAATAAAATTGCTCATCACCCACTGACGGATACCCTGCCCAACCTATCAGTCCCTCCAGGCAAACTCTCCCCAGTTTATATACTGAGCATGACATGCTGCGGTATGGAATAGCCCTTTGGCCAGTTTGGGTCAGGTGTCCTGTCTCTGCTTCCTCCTGGCTTCTTGTGCCCCTCCTCACTGGCAGAGTATGAGAAACAGAAAAGTCCTTGATAAAGGTAAGCACTACTTAGCAACTGAAATATCGGTGTGTTACCAGCATTGTTCTCAGACTAAATCCAGAACACAGCACTACACCAGCTGCTAGGAAGAAAATTAACTCTATCCCAGCTGAAACCAGAACAAGGATATTCTGTTTAATGACTCCAGAATACATGCTATTGCAACTAATACACTGCACTGCCTCTCAGCTTATCTTAAGGAAAGAATCAAGAACTAATTTTCATGTACATCCTTTTTCATTAGCTGATTTTCCAAGGATTAAAGGTTTTGGGGTTTTTATTTGTTTCTTTCAAAAGAAAGATCTCTTGTGTTCTCTTCCTGCGTTTGGGACTTCATCACACATCAGCCCAAACAGAAACACATCTCTAATTCTCTTCTAGTGACTAATTCTTGGTTTTCTCAATCCCCTCAGATCTCCTTATTTCTATCCTAAGTGGATTTGCATTGCTTAAGTATCAAATGATAATCAGTTTTGTGAACTATTGATGTAATATATTAAAACTGGATATCTGCAGATAGTTTTAGAACAGCCTAGATACAAACCACAAGAAAGCCCTTTCCAGTTGGTTAATTTTTGGCTGTTACAGAAACTCTATTCTCCATTGAGAAAAAAATTAGGCAGTCAATTTTTTATTCTCCATATCAGATATATATAAAAAGTAAGCATTAAAATAATAATAAAAATAATTTGTATTGGGAAATAATTTGTATCGGGAAATTTAATTGAATTATTTATGTGAATTTTAAATGATGCAAAATATTGCAGCTTCCTATGATGCCGGTTAAGGGTCTGTCAAAGGGTCTTGGCCTTTGTTAGAGCTAAGCTCTTGACTAGCTCACACCCTCCAGGATTTACTACTTGTTCCTCTCTTGTTGAATCATTGCTGTGGTGTCTCCTGAGACTGTGTATGGGAAACTCAGTCCCCTTGCACAGTCCGTGCCTGAGAGCAGAACAAGGCCGTAAAGCATGTCAGAGCAGTGAGGCGCCTCTGGCCTGGGCTACTCATCCTCAAGCTATTCTGCTATGAACCACATGATTGGGGTTCTTTTTGTCTTTTAAAAAGTAATATTTCTAAGATAAAAGTTATTGAAGATTTGACCTTCCCTCCCAATTTCAAATCAAGATTGATGTTGAAAAGAGAAGATTTCCAGTCACCTGGATATCCTGATTTTTTACTTTCTCTGGGTATTTATGTCCAATATTGGAAAATCAAACTTGTCTCCTGAAGGTGCAAAGGTTTCACTTCGCCTTGTCTTGTCCCTCCATCCCCAGCAGTGCCCATCTTAGCCAGGCACAGCACTGCTACCCCCAAAGGGAACCCCTCACCCTGGGGTTCCCTGAGGCCTTTTTGCATGGTGCCAGCCACTGTATGAAGGAAACTCTCCGGCAAAGGATGAGAAATACTATGTCCTGATGCCTACTGTATTTTGATATGACATCTTGCTAATATGGGGCTGGATCCCACCATGCAGCTGGTTATAGCTGCTTTCCAAAGTAATACTTGAATTTCTACCCCAATTTGCGTGGCAAAACATTAAAATTTCCAGGCAAACATCACATCTGAGGTACTAGAATTGAAACATGAAGTTGTGTGACATAGTGTGGTTAAGTAATGTGTATTTATAATTTCAGTCTCGGCAATGGAAAATCAACTATAAATGTTCTGGGAGTTGGAAGCGGCACAGGTAAGGAGCTTAGCAGCACTCCCAATGTTGGTGGCTAGGGGGTCCCTATGGGTTGCAGAAAGCGATGCCAAAATTCTGAGCAAATCAGGCTTTAATAACAGTGTTTCTCATCAAGTCAGAAAATGGCAAAATGGGATGTGGAGCCAGGATGAGAGAAATGCTCCCCTCACTCCTTCTCTCCCTCTCTCTCTTCCTTCCTCTTTCCCATTTCCCTTCTGGAAACACTGCTTCTCTAATCTCTGGGAAGTGGGATGATTTTAACTTAGTCTCTGCCTCTTGATGACTCTCACCTGACTTTGTATGTCTCAAAGCAATAACTGGGTTGGGTAGCAGAGCATCTTCAAACCTAGTTGGAGAGAATTAGAGACACCTGAGTGGTTCATTCCACCCTAAGTCCTGTCTTAGACTATCCCATCTGAAGGGATGTCTTTTTCTGCTTTGCAATGCTCTGCTCCAGGTGGTGCAAACCACTATTAGCATGGGGCTGCTTCAGATTCTTCAAGATGTGTTTTTTTTGTTACTACTTTGTTTATATCCAGTGATAAGTAAGGTTTAACTGCAAACAGCATTTCCCCCCAGAGAGAAACCCATCTTTTGGGAAATAGCTTTAAAGCTGTTGTAAATGAATTTGTGTTTAAAAAAAAAAAGTGATGAAACAACCAACTTTCCTCCTAGGGAAACTGGGAATAAATAAGAAGTAGAGAAAAGAAGCGGCAGTTTGATCTGTCAGAGTTTGCTTTTGCTTTAAAAAGTATTTTCAGACGAAAGTTAAGTGCTAATACTTTCAAATGAAAGTATTTTTCTCACTACTTTTCTGTTTTCCTTGAGTAAGAGAAAAGTAGCATTGAATTGTTTTCCCCAGCTGGGAATATTTTGGAGCATATGAGAAAGCAAGCAGGATGAAATCACTCAGTTCTCGATTGCACTCTATTTTCATTAAGTAAAATCAACCCAAAATTCCAACTCCAGGAAAACACAAACGGAAAATGTACTTTTTGTACCATCCTAATTTTTCTTTATTTCCTTTTCAGAAGGTGTTTTAATAGAAAAGTAAAACCTCTAAAATTTCCTGTGTTTCCTGACCCTCACAGATGACGTCGTACAGAGTCTCACCCCCTTCAGCTTGCCCACAGCTACAAGAGCTGAACTTCTGTGGCCAGGCAGGGAGTAAGCTGGGATGGCATTGAGCAAAAGGTTATATCTGATCCCTGACCTTTCCAGGCTTGGACTCTGATTTCACAGAGCCCCTGGAATTAATTTAGTTGATGAAAATATTAATGGGGATTAGGGACTGACTTTATATCCTAAAATACTGTTGTCAGCTCCAGATCACATTTTCTCGTTCACCCAATGTTTTCCCATGGCTGGTTTAACTCTCTGGGCTCTAACCTCCCAGTTAGTGCTGCATGGGCTGCTCTTTGCAGAGGGGTTTCACTCCTGCTTCTCTCTCACTGTGGTTAGTACTGAAGAGTTGTTGCTGGCAGGCAAGCTGGGGCAGAGAAATTCCTGCTCTGAAGCATTGTATTTTACTGCTCATGTTTGCAGACACTCCAGTTGAGGACATTATTCGCTACTCTTGCAAAGACTGGATTAGGGAGTTTCTACAGACATGGAATAAAAAAACCCACCAAAGCAACTTTTGTGATATGCATTTGCTGTTGATACACCCACTTGCTACCATCAGTGGCTCCAGTGCGTGGGGTAGTGATGCTTTGCCTCCTGCCTGCCCTGAGCCTGCAAGGAGACCACATCAGCACCTCTAATTGCTGGTGCTCCCCACCCTAGACACATACTAACTGGCATTTAGGACTGCCTAAAATGAATCAGCTGCTTCCTGTCAACTATATTGGTCCATGCACCCACCTTCAACAAATGCAGCCACAGACTCTTTCCTTGTGCTTTTGGCTAGCCCTGCACTGCTGCCACTGCATTCCTCAGGGGTCTTGGTTATTTTTTCTCCAACTTCAAAAGACTCATCCCTCCTTGGATGTCCCTGTAGTGCTGGCATGGCTTCAGTTTCCCTCCTTGAATTCTATTTACTGCAACACCTGCCAAAGATGAGACTTTTCTCACAGCTTGTACGTCAGCTAGGGAAGATGCAGTATCTCATATCAAGACCTCTGTGTGTGGCATTTGCAAGCGCAGGCCTATTTTTAGGCCCCATCATAAGCTACAGATAGGATTCTTGCAGAGGTCCACTCCAGGCAGCTGCCTTTGCTGTTTGTTTGTGTAGTCCCAGATGAATCAGATGTTCTTTGTACACTTGGTGTATTGTGGCATTTCTGGGAGAAAACATGAGTGACCTGCATCACCTCAAAAGCGGCTGGAAATTTCCCAGGACAGGCTGCTACTTGCTCCTTCAGAACTTAGCAACAGAGGAGCACCAATAGCTAAATTTGCAGTGTACCTACACACAAATAAGTGAGTTGTTATTTGCAACTCCAAGATAAGTCAATGCCCAGAGCTGAGACCAGGTGGCTGGTCCCCGAAGAGGGAAGATCAAGGGTACTGCATGTCAATGGGTCTTTTCTTTTGCCGTGCTGTTTCCCATGTCTGGGAGCTGTGTCACACCAGAACAGCCATCACCTCCCTGTGGCACTGCCCAAGGCACGGACCACCCTGTGTCATGCCGAAGTTACACAGATGTGCCAACTGCCTCCTTGCACCCACTCAGACTTTGTTGGAAACTAATGCTTCCTGGTTGTTTTTCTAAATACTGACCTTTGGTTGTTTTGACCTGTTTGTCGCATGACCCAGAGTTAATGCTATTAGCAGGATTCTGCACTGTTGCTTACCTCCTCCTTGTTCTTAGTCTTAAGTTATCTGTAACATAATTATCTGTAACTATGTTACCTCAAGTAGTCACATATCATGGTAAGACTATTATTGGGCTCATGCTACCATGCAAACTGCAAGGTAGAAAGTGCCTCACTTCTGTCTTGGGGATTTCCCAGCAGGGAGGTGACAGATGCACTGCATCCTTTCATCACATTTGAGCACTTTTTGAAGCAATGATTTTATGTTTATTGAGTAGGTGAGCAGGATTTGAAAATGATCAGGATACTGCAGGATGTACACCCAGGTGTCCTTATTGACAATGAAATCGTAGAGCCCAACCCACAACATGTGGCAGCTTACAAAGGTAAGGCTATACCTGCTGCCTGGGGTACAGCAAGAATTGTTGATTTGAATGATGAGTTTTTCTGCTGTTCTGTGAAAATCATGTTTTTCTACTACTTTTTAAAACAGAGCTGGTGAATCAAGCTCCAGACCTGCAAAATGTCTCTTTTAATTGGCACCAGCTCACTTCCTCAGAGTACGAACAACAGGTGAAAGAGAAAGGTGCACATAAGAAATTCGACTTCATCCATATGATCCAGGTAATGGAGTATTGTTTTAATATAGAAGTGTTAGCTTTAACCACTCCCTTCATTTCTGCTGTGTGCACGAAGATAGGGGTACCAGAGCTGAGCACAGCTCCCCCAAGAGCTGTATCTTCTGCAGCAGCTCTACAAACATCAAACCTCATTCCCTATCCACCGTGGTTTTGGTCTCTGGTTTGTACTGGTTTAACTGTGTATGGTGGATAATAAAACAGGAGAAGTGTCAGGCTATCCTGAGACATCAACAGTTATGCTTTGCTGCTGCAAAAGACCTTGATTTTTTTGCCTTATCAGAGTAGTTTGGATGGCACCGAAGGGAAAGTTTTATGAAAGAACACCTGTGTCAGGTTTTGGGTCAGGAATGATGCTGCTGTGTCGCTGATACTGATGACACTGATGTTGTATGTGCCAAATTATATTTTGTAAAAAAATCTGTTATTCAATACATTTTGCTTTCATTTCATAAAAGTTCGTTTCACTACCAGAGAGTGTTTCAGGGGGTTGATGCATGGGTCAAGTTACAAGTCCCGATGACAGCCTTTGAGATGAGCTTGCTTTGTCCTAGTGCAAATTCCTCAATATCTGGTGGCTGAAGCTGAGTAGAGGGTTCCTGGGTCTGACCCCAGGCTGTTGTTGCTAGTGGAGAGCTGGTGATGTTCAGTCCTATGGGGCATCCCTAAATGTGCATGCTGAGTCAGGACAGGCTGGGAAGCAACTGGAAGGTAACTAAGAACAACTCTATAGAGAAAGTGTTTAAGCCTTTGAATGGCCATTGCACTGTGAAGGAGGAATAATGGCTGTGTGCAACTCTGTCACTTCTAGATGCTGTACCGTGTGGAGGATATTCTCAATACTATCAAGTTTTTCCACAGCTGCCTCGACCATCATGGTAAACTCCTGATCATAATTTTATCAGGTAAGAGGCACCCTTCATTTTTTGCTTCACTGCTGATATTTTGTCCAGCTATGAAGTTTGAGAGCCACAAATAGTTATCTCAGGATTTCTGTAGCGCTTATTCTTCCAGAGTAATTAAATAAAACAAATGCTGTATTTCATAGGGAGAATGTAATCTTGTGCTTAGCCTCTTGGACCCCGATGTCTGATGGGACCCCTTTGTGCTCTTGCTTCCCTGCTTATGAAATAGATAAATAACTCCATACCTAAAAGAGACCTGTGAAGTTACTGGCTAGATAGAAGTGTAGCTCTTCATGAATGAGGGTCAAACCTTCGTGGTGAAATCATCACTGTCAAAACACAACCTGAGCTCTTGGGAGGACCTATCTTTGGGGGTGGGGTTCTTCCCCATGTTTGCCATTAATAGTCCCTCTCATATTGCTGGTAGGCTGTTTCCCTTGCTAGCTGGGACTGTCTTTTTCAAGTATATATCCTTCAATGCACATTTAAAATTCAGGTTTGATGTATAAAAACATCTACAGTATTCTAGCAAAGGACACTTAATAGGTAGCGTGAATGTGCAGCCTCAGTGCACTGCTACCTCTGTGTGTACACCTTCTGGGCAAATCCAGTGCCTGAGAGCATCTCCCATGAGTTTCTGTTAAACGGGAGAGCTTTGGAAGGAGAAGTGTGGGAGATCACAGGTTTGCTTCTCTCCAGGAATAGATATTTATAAGTGGACTCAAGTAAGGGGAAAGCTCTTTGCTCCTGGCAAGGTCTGGGTCAGCAGCAAGGGAGTATTTCAAATTCATTTAGTAGTTGCATTAGCTGGTGTTTGACTCCTTTGGCTTTGCAAAAGTAACCTTCCCTCCTGTTCTGGCAGACAGTAGTGGATGGGCCAGCTTATGGAAGAAGTACAGACACTGTTTGCCTTCCACTGACAGTGGCCACTACATCACCTCCAACGGCATTGCAGACATTTTGAAGAGACTTGGTATTGAATACTGCATTTATGAGTTCCTGTCAGGCTGGGATATCACTGAGTGCTTTATCGAGGGGGACCCGGCTGGAGGCCGCATGATGGATTTCCTGACGGGGACAAAAAACTTCCTGGGCACGGCCCCCCCAGGTCTGCGACAGCAGCTGCAGGAGGCTCTCTGCCAGCCGGAGTGCAGCAGCAAAAAGGATGGGAGGATCATTTTCAGCAACAACCTGAGTATGATTGTGGTTGATTCCTAGAGTCTGGACCAACTGCAGAAGACAAGTGAGGGTGGGTATCGGGGCAATGCAGTTGAAGAAGGATGTAGCATAGAAAGAAGGTAACTCACAGGCAAGAAGGTGAGAAAGCGAGGCTCACCTGCAGCCTCTCATTCCCAGCCAGGGTCAGCAGAGCCACCTGCGACACCAGAGATGAGCTCTTTGTCCTGCTGAGGTCATCGGGGCCAAGATTTCACCCTGGCTATTCAGTCACAGAATCATAGAATGGTTTGGGTTGGAAGGGACCTTAAAGATCATCTAGTTCCACCACTCCCTGCCTTGGGCAGGGACAGTTTTGACACCAGGACCTAGTCTAGCCCTAGGAAAACACTTTGCAAAGAGTAAAGAGCTTGATCTCACTAAAAGCCTACATGGACTTGTTTTTTGACAGTATGTATCCTGTCTGTGCTTTTGACACTGGGATTTCCGCTTTTTTATAGAGCCAGCATGTTTACATACCAAAAGACATGTATGTATGACCAGGTGCTGCTTTTCAGCTGGTATGGGGCTGCAGCCCCTGTGCTGGCTGCATAGAGACGCATTGCTTCCGGCTGTGCCAGGGCAAAACTGGAAAGGTGTCCCTACTGCTTTGCACCCAAGTAATGTGCCTTGCTGCACCCAGATGTAAGATGCTCTGAGCTAGGCTATTTCACATGGGCGTATCAGTGCAGGTATTTACTGCCCAAACCATCTTAGCATCTTGCAATACAGACATGTCTTAAAGTTTTTATCAGCCTTTATGTTTGGAGACTTTTTTGGATCCCAGGATGACACTTGCCCTGTGTTCCTTCGGACACATATTAATTTAGTTACTTTCTTACTACTGTTTTTCTCCATATAAAATAAAAGCAACCTTAAACCAAAAAGGTCACATCTTTTTCTGCACATGTGGGCTTACAGAAAATGAAGAGCAAAGAGGTTATTTAGTTAAAAACAAAACAAAACAAAAATGCAAAATGCCATTTTATGGAAGCATTAAGGGTTTCTCGCAAGCGAGAAAGATGAGCCTGAGGATGTAGAAAAGCTGGGAGCAAGCTGCAGCTTGTCCTTGTGCTGCAGCCATGGGAGGCAGCTTGGCTCACTTGACGCTGCGTCGCTGCAGTGCAGGGGATCAGAACCTACATTACTTAAATAAAATGTATGTAGTTAAGATGTTAATACAGGTAAGTTAAGACTATTTCCACAGTGACTTCAAAGGGCTAAAGGAGGTGCTGCCGGGGCCCGGCTCTAGAGGGAGATGCTGCAGGGAATGTTAGTGTGGTTTGGCATTCATTGCATGTAGTGTCCTCGTGGTGTGCCTGGGTGCAGGAGGGAGAGCTGCCTGCAGTCCCGCGGGCTTCATTGCAAATAGCTCTCGGGGCAGGAAGCACCAGCTCAGATACATGCAAAACTCAGAGCCTGCCTCTATAAACAGATTTTGCCGTGCTTGAGCTGGAAAGCACATGTCTGTGTGTACCCCTGAAAGGGCTGCCTCAGTGATGCCTGGTATTGATCAAAAGGCTTGTTCCAGCATTATGAACACATGGGTCAGCACATTAGCTTGTAAACTATTACATGTCATGATCCCACTGAACCTACCTCCAGCCCACACACCGTCTCTCTGCCCAGATAGACTGCGCAGTGTCAGTGCTCACATCTGAAAAGGTAATTTCAGTTCACAGAGTTATTGTGGCTCCACTTTTTCCTTTGGCTTTTTTTGGGGGGTTTGTTTTGGTTTTTGCTTGTTTGGGTTGGTTTGTGGGTTTGTGGGTTTTTTTGTTTTGTGGGTTTTTTTGTTTGTTTGTTTGTTTGTTTGTTTTGTTGGTTTGTTTTGTTTGGTGGTTTTTTGTTTGTGATTTTTTTTTTTTTTTTTTTTTGGGAGGGGGTTGGGGGTTTTTTGGTTGGGGTTTTTTTTTTTTTTTTTTTTTTTTTTTTTTTTTAGTTTTGGTTTGTTTTTTTTCCATATCTCTTTGACGTGCAGCCATTTGTCCTGAAACTACTGTAAGGTATAAAAGAGAAAAACAACGGGAAAATTATATCAGTCAAAACTGGGCAGTCTCCTCCAGAGTACCCCATACCTATGCACAAGCCTTTTATTTTGATCCACTTCATTTTTTATTCTGTAGGTATCTATCTCTCTCCTTTGCTTGTGCCTGCTTGCAGCACTGGGCAGTGAGTGTACAGCTGGGCTGTTGGACAGGCTCTCAGCACTGCTCTCATCAATGTTCTCTTTCCACTGTAAATTCCCATGATATATTTCCAGGTGTTAGTGATGTTTCTGTCTCTACCTGGTAGATTAAAAAGAAAACCCAAATATACCAAAAACTAGACTTGCTTGCAAGCTCCAAAGAACCATTTACCTGTTAGTCATTTGGAACAGTCCAGATTCCCCCAGATCTTCACCACACTAAGAGGTTTTTATCCCTCCTTGGAGTTTTCTGTGCAGATAGACATGTTTCCGATAAGCAGATACTCAGCAAAACCTGTGAGCACCAAATTTACCCACACCATTGTAAATCAATATGCAAATGCTCAGAAGAAAAGGAGCTGTTCAAAGCAGACTCTTTACTGATAGCCTAAGGAGATGAAACAGGACAGCCCATTAAAAACAGGACTGCTTAATGCTTTATCTGTAATTTTCCCTTTGATTCTTGAAAAGGAAGTTACTTAACGACAACTCTGCTTGTTCACCTGGAACAAATGCTATCGTGTCTGTTCCATTTATTCATATATATATTTATTCTTGGGCGAATACGCTATTTAATAACCGCTTGTTGTGCTTTCTAAAATAGGCTGTCCTCCCACAGAGAACTTCTGTCTGCGCTTTCCCAGCTGCCCGGATGCAGCAGCGCGGTTGGGTCTCTATGGCCACGAGAGGGCTGCAGCAGCCAGCGGATTAAATCCACCTCCCAACACGCTTGAGAAGCTGAGCTGAAGAGGCAGAGTCAAGCACTGCCTCAGCTCAGCTTTCTTTGACGGGTCATTGCGTCCTGATTCCAGCTGTTGGGGACCACGCTTTTTTCTTCCTGAGAGTCATGTTCTTGATGCCGGGCTCCATCTTATAAGCGAGAATTGCACAGCGCAAATGCCAACGATGGCTGCACAAGTTTTGTTCGTGGGTTGTTATTTTTTGTCCCCACTCAATGGCTGAAGTGCTCCAGCTTGGCTGCCTCTCAAGCTGCAGACAGCTAACCAGGCACCGGGGCTGACCGGGGCATGTAAACACAAGGAAGGGGGTATCAGGAGTAAGAGGTTGCTTCTGCTTTAGCTTTGAGTTGAATTAAACTTAGTCTTGGATGAGCCCTACTCTGCAGTGAGTTCCATGGCAATTCCTAGTGCTGCAGTTAGCAAGGAGCAAGTCCAGGGCTCTCTGAGGGAGCTGCGCTGCTCTGTCAGCATGACAGCTTGCTCCAGCCAAAAGCGAATACTTTTGTGGATAACATGTAGTAAGCTGCTGTGTGTACTCTGGACTAGAAGTAATGCCTACAAAACCCAAACTGCATTATTTTTAAATGGTTCAGCTGCAGATTTTATCCTTACTTCAAGTTAATAATAGCCTATTTCAATGGCATGTCATTGCTCTGATTATGTGTTACAGCCTCTTAAAAATGAGTTACAGAAAGCAGCTCTTTATAATATCAAGGAAGGAGAATTTGGTTTTTACTGGGCTTGTATTCAGTTTTGGGGGCTGAATGGTTTACCTTTGTAGTGAATGTTAAGCCTTTTCTATCCATGAACATTACAAGGTGAATGAAAGTAGCATAGGAACTGGAAAATCTAATAGCCCATTTACGAATAATCCCACTAAAAGACAAGCTCAGTAAAATACTGGAGCATATATTGGAAAAAATTAAAACTAACCTCAGTCAGGGAGCAAAACATAAAAATACAGATGCTGACTTTCCCCTCACCCCCTTCAATATTTGCTCACAGAAATAAATATCAAGGATGTTGTGAATGCTCCAGCCCTGGTGGTGTTCAAGGCCAGGTTGGACAGAGCCTTGGGCGACATAGTTTAGTGTGTGGTGTCCCTGCTCATGGCAGGGGGGTTGGAACTAGATGATCTTAAGGTCCTTTCCAACCCTAACTATTCTATGATGTAGAAAATCTTTGGTTACTCTGTGCATTCTTCATAAATAAATACATAAAATAAATGCATGTCTGTACAGTGAGATCTCTCATAATCATGAGCTGTACAAGCATCTGTATTAATAATTTTCATTGGGACACCAGGCTTTGCCCTGCAGTCTTCAGATTTGGGATGCTAGTTCTGGAGGTCTCTTGAGTGAAGAAACCTGAGGCACAATCTAGATGTGGTGGAGAGGTTGTCACGAGGTTGTCACAAGTTTGTACTTAGGAAATCCCAGGAAAACTCAGGAAATGCTTGTGCCTAGAAAAATAGTTTTCCATCTGCCCTCAATCCATGCATGGTTCAGAGTTGTTTCTTTGAAAATACTGTTAGATAGTCCTTGCTAAGAACAAAATTTGGGTTTCCTGAGGGACTGACTGTTCTGAAAGAGATTTATGGTGGGAAGGGCAGGAGTAACTATGAGCTCTACATGCAGTGTCTTTTGACTGAGTTAGTCCTGATGGCCCAAACTATAAACCATTTCTGCATGCTCTGTATCCAGCAGAGAAGGCAGCAAAGGCCAGATAAATCTCCCTGAAGCTGCTGGTTGTACGTCTATTTACTGGTGACAGGATCATACTAACCTTCCTGGAGCTTACAAAGGTCTTCATAGGTCATATTTATAAGGTGTTTATCATGCTACTTTTTAAAGTACAGTATTTTTTGAAGGTCATATCCTCCAGACTGAGAAGAAATATCCAAACCAAGTCTAAAATACCTTTGTTGTTAATCATTGCTCCTTTGAGTCACTCAACTCCAGTACTTAAGTATCAACAGAAACCTAACTCTTGCTAGAGGGCAAGAATCTTGGTTAGGTCTCCAAAGACCTCCATTGACCAGTGCATGGTCCCTCTGCTACGTACCAAGCTGCTGG